AGCGTCTGTCTTATAAGAGACATCTTAACTGTTGAACTTTAGCATTGGGTTTAAATCACCTTGCCTTCCTCACAGACGTTCGGTTGAAGAAAGAAAGGAGGTGGGGGTGGATGTTAACATGGATGGGTGGTGGCAGGATTCTGTGTGACCTCGGATGCCTTCATGCCTTCCACACAGAGCCTGTGTGTGCTTTATCACGTCCCAGCAAGGTGGAGTTTGGACCCTGCCTCCAAAATCCTTTTGAAAGCCAGGAGGCTAACCAAAGTGTTTGATCAGAATTAGTCTATTTTAGCAGTGACACTGCTTATTGTGACAGGCAATTAATATACATACATTTAAATTTTGTAAAACAACCCTCTTGCAATTTGCAGAGGAAAGGGAACCAGCAGGAGAGAAATGTGTGGCTGCGCCCCTCCAGTCTGGAGTTTTCCACCTGGGATGGGGAAGTGGAGACAAACAGAGGGGGTCCTTGGAGCAGAAAGTATATGTGAAAACTGAACATCTCAAAGCAGAAAGGCGTTCTCTTCTCAGATAGCTACAAAACCCCTTCATGTAACTCCTTCCTCCTTCCGTGTGTCCCTGAGAAGCTGCACCTCACCGACCCTGAGGTCAGCAGACAGCTTTGGACCTGGGCTGTCAGTAGCTGTTCCTGAAGGGAGTTTAGCCAAAACTAGGCTGCCCTCTTAAACTCCCTTACAAAAAGTGATAAGTTTTAGTCACTCAGTCATGTCTGACTCTTTTCAACCCCATGGACTGTAGCCTGTCAGGCTCCTCTGTCCATAGGATTCTCCAGGCAAGAATACTGGAGTGGGTTGCCATTTCCTTCTCCAGGGGATCTTCCCGACCCAGGGATTGAACCCAGGTCTCCCACATTGCAGGCAGATTCTCTACCATCTGAGCCACCAGGGAAGTCCTTATACCCCATTATAGTTCCCATTGAATTGCAGAGAAGACCAGTGACAGTGACACCTGATATTTACACCCACTAGGTCTTGTCCTGAGGGGACTCAGTGCTTCCACCACACAACTGGCTCAGACTCTAGGCGCTCCAGAAGACTACTGTGTCCTCTCTCCATTTCATGCCCAGCTGCCTGCCTGCACCCCGTAATCCCATTTCCGCATAACCTCTGCAGCCTCACTTCCCACTGTGGTTGAAGCTGAGATGGGGGAGGCACAGGACGGGAGGCTGGCGGGGGACCCCTATCTTGGACAGTGGTTTTAAGTGAGCCGGTGAGCTCTTGGAGCCCTTCACCTGGGGGGCAAGGCTGTGCTTCTTCACGGTGGGGGCTGCCCACACCGTCCTGCCCCCCTTGCCCATGGACTCCCAGGCCTGTCCAGCAGTCGCTGCTGTCGGCTGTTCCAGAGTTGGAGGACACCTGGTCTGTGCAAGCCTGACCTTGTCCCGGCGAAGGAGTGCTAGACGGTGAAGGCACAGCAGTGCCCAACAGTGCAGGTTATATGGAAATCGAGCTCCAGTGTTATGAGGTGGAACATGTTAAGGTGGAGACTTGAAAGCAAAGGAGGGTGTGATTAATTCTGCCCGCAGGAACAGCCTCCTGGAGAGGTTTCACTCATTCCTCCATTCAGTGCCACAGGCATCGGTAATATACTAGAACACGTGACCCGCTTGCTGGTGCTCCGGACATGTTGCCGCAGCCTCTCTGGGCCTCACTGTCCTTCCTTGAAAACTGGCATACACAATCATGCTAATGATACCAATAGTAATGAGGCTAATCTAGATTGTAGAACAGGATAAGATGAGACAAGACAGGCAGAGCACCCAACAAAGTGTCTGGCTTGTTGCGTATTATCTAAAGATCATTTTTACAGTCTGTTTGGGGAGCGAATCCTAGGAAGTGAAGCCCAATTCGGAAGGTCGAAGGGGGAGAGCTGGAGAGAATGAGAGCCACAGAGGAGGAGAAGAGAGAAGGAGCAGAGAGCTGAGAAACGCAGGTACAGCAGATACTTAACCTGAGCGAGCAGAGTGCAGGGGCAGACGGGAGAATCCTGGGAGTTGAGGCTGGCCAGGCAGGCTGGCGTCTGTCACACCAAGGGCAGCACTGTTCTACAGGACAACCAGGCTTGGCATCACCCCCAGCATCTTCAGGATGAACACACAAGGGTGCTGGCTGCTGGGTGGGCTGGGGAGGTACACCATTCTGTGATGTGCAGGCATCAGGGCGAGGAAGGTACCCGTGGGCAGACATCACTGCACCAGCCTGTGCCCCGTGTCTGAGCATCTCCATGCCCTGACATTCACTCAGGTTGTCAGCTTCCAAAGTGAGCACCTTGGGACTGACAGCAGGTGGCCTGGGACCGGAAGATTCCATCTCTACTACCTCTTATTAAACTCTCGGCTGCCTGGGAATGACGCTCCCCAGCCGTGCAGTATTCAGTGGCAGTGTGTGTCTGGCTGTCAGAAAGGTTACAGGCAGATACAGTTCATTTATCCTCCATGAAAACTTAAGATTGTTTGGTCCCCAACTGTAGTGTGTGTTCCAGGAGGGGGATGCTGTGTGTCCTTGGTGACCTTCCCAGACCATGGCACAATGTCTTGCAGAAGTTAGAACACTGGTTCCATTTTTATACTGATGTTAAACTTTCTGCTAACCTAACCTATTCAGAAGTATTTCCTGGCAAGTTCTATACTATACCTTTGGTTTGAACCTGAGCTGGTTGTTGATTTTTCTTCCAACTGCCCTGATGCTCTCCCAGTTGCCTATGGCAGCAAACGACCTCGACATGCCAGGAGCAGACTGCAAAGCACGTGGCTGAGTGAGGAAGCCCGAAAAGCTAGGGGCATGTCTGCTTCCCGTTGGTGTCACCGCTGGCCAAAGGTTGACAGATCTGCCTGTGCCAGACTCTGCTGGTCTCTCTGGGCTCACTCAGGATCGGGGGACTGGCTGACCCTCAGGGGAGCTCGGGCAATCTTGGGGGAAAATTGGGCATCTCAACTCTGCTTCATGCACCAACTTTCATTTGCCAATGGGCATGGGCTTATGGAGGCAGCAGAGGGGCGAGAGCAAGAGTAAGTTGGTCATGCCAGAGCTTCCAAACCTCTGTGAGCACCACGTCTGCTAACATCCTACTGGCCAACCAAGTCACGCACAGACCTAGAGCCAGTCAGTGAGTTTAGGGAGGATGCATCTGCTACAGGGGCTCGTGGACAAAGGAGAAAACCTCAGTAAGAAAATGCAAATCGGGAACTCCCTGGCAGTCCAGTGGTTAGGACTCTGCACCTCCACTGCCGTGGCCCCTGCGCAGGGTACTAAGATCCCGCAAGCCTCCCAGCATGGGCAACAAAAGAAGAAAAAGCAAATGTAGATTATCTACAATCCTACCAGTTACAGCTAAATCATTGCTGACACCTAAAAAATCCTCCCAAGCTCATTTCCAAGTAAGCATGTACTTTTAAAAGCACATATGTAATATCGATCACACAATTGTTTCCATTGCTCTTTTATGCTTTTTATGCACTTAGGTATTTACATGCACACAATGAAATGCTCTCTTGATGGGCATTGAATTTGTTTCCATTTTCACAAATATAGATCATTCTGCCATGAACATCCTTATCCTTCCATCTTTGGGTCCTTTCACATGTTTATCCTTCCTAGAATAAGAAGAGGTAAGTCACAGTGTCTGCATTGTCATCATGCTCTTATGTCTGTGCCTGACTCCACCAAAGGTGTGTGAGAGAGACTTTTGCTATGCTGGGGTTTGGTTTTCTTTTTTTTTTTTCCCATGTTTTAAAATGTATTTATGTATTTATTTTTGAACCTTCAATCCTGTAACTGTTTGGGGTTTGGTTTCTGCTTGAATTCTATATTACTGGTAACAGTATATTGGGTTCATCTCTATCTTAAAGAACATTGACCAAATGACTGTGAGATGGTAGTTTCTCCCTAATTCCTTAGAGAGTGAGGAAAATTAGCATTCACCTGGGCCTGAAAGGGAGATAAGAATAACAATTCAAGCAATAGACAGGGAGAAGAGAAAACATTAAAAGAATCAGTGGTCACTTGATTTAGATGCTAAATGTCCTTTTGGTCAGTTGCTGCTGTGACAAATACCAGTGGAGAATCATTGGAATATGGTTTAATGGCCTAAGAAGTTCAACCCATAAAAACAGGTTACTTTCCCACCTGGGCAGGGCAAGGGAAGTAGAGGTGCTCTAGAGAATAGGATCAGTTTCTACCGATTGCTTCTGTTAAGGCAGTCTTGGGGCTCCCCTTCACATTTTGTAGTCATGTTTGGTGATTTTTTTTTTTTTAATGTTCGGTTACTTAACTGATTATTTCAAAAATCCACGTTTCTTCTGTTAAATTGAAACTGCTTATAATGAGAGGAAGATGACTATTTTACTCACATGTGAATAAGAAACAGAGCAGGACCCTATGGTTCTTCCCTGCCGTGTCCTCAGCCTACCTTTTGTCTGTGGAAAAGCTTTAGCCAAAGAATAAGTTTAATCAGAGAAGCAAGAAAATGCAGAAACAAAGGAAAACAGTCTAAAAAGATTAAATAATAATAACTCAGTCATTAAGTCAAGGACTTTTAGTTCCTTCTCAAGGACTACAGAAAATATTCTGAACCATATCCTGGGAGCTGTCTCATAGATCCTGAAACCCTCACCAGGTGGAAGAAGTTAACCACAGGATGACCAGACTCTAGCCATGATGTAAGCTGCCACAATTCTGAGAAATGGCCTCAAAAGAAATGCAACAAATTGAGCCTGGAACTAAAGATTAACTGTACTTAAAACAGTTAAGATAACACTGGTCAGACGACTAATGACCAATTTCAAGATGACTGTCAGCTGACTGTGCTGTTTCTGCATGTAGCTTGCTCCCTCACCCTCTGAAAACTCTCGCCCACTGATTGATAGCTGGGAGTGGGCCTTTGGACAGGAGTCTGCCCTCCCACCTAGTTGGCCGGCCTTTGAAATAAAGCAAACTTTCTTTTCCATCAACCTTGCCTCTTTACTGGCGTTTGAGATTTTGCTAGCCGATTCGGGTGCCCACGTGAGGCTGAGCTCTCGCGATATCCGGCTGCGGGGTGGAGCAGAGCCGCCCCCGTGAAGACTCGCAGGGAAGGCTGTGAGGAGCCGCTGCTGGCGGCTTGCTGGCCCCAGGAGAGGTTTGAGGGGATAGTCCTAACTGCTGCTGAAACCATTTGCTTCGGGGATCCTCCCTGTTTTCTTCCCCTGCTCGGCACTGACTGCCAGCCTGTGCTTTTCCTTGGTGGAACGGAAAGACACTTCTGGACAAGCCGAGCAACGCCAAGACCCAGTCAGTCCGACGGGCGTTGGTGCGCCCGGCTGACTTCCCTTTCTAGCACCAAGTGCTGCCTGAGCGTTCTTGCCAGTGGGTTCTGGTGTGTATTTGCCTTCAAGGCCCATTTGTGTTGGAAAATGTTGGTTTGGGACTGCATCCCCTGGAGGGTTTTGTGACAGTTCCGTCCTCTGGTGTGCGTGTGTGTGTGTTTCATTTGTATGATTGATATTCTTGTTGCCTTCTGTAAAGTGGGGAATTCAGGGTTAATTCATTAGAAAAACTTAAGCTGTGACACTGTGACCATGAAAAAAGAAAGACGTTTTTTTTTTTCAAGCACTGTGTGGCCACCAGCATTATTCTTCAGGGCTTCCCTGGTGGCTCAGTGGTTAAGAATCTGCCTGCCAGCGTAGGAGACATGGGTTCAATCCCTGGTCCGGGAAGATCCCATATGGTGTGGGGCAGCTCAGCCCGAGCACCACAGCTACTGAGCGCTTGCTATCTAGAGTCCCTGCTCCACAACACGGGAAGCCCCTGCAGTGAGGAGTCCATGGTCCACAACCAGACAGCAGCTCCTGCTCACCGCAGCTAGAGAAGAGCCCGGGCACCAGTGAAGAACCAGCACAGCCACTAATAAATAAGGTGAAAGCATAATTTTAAAAATGTTAGTCTTCAAGCTCTGGAGAAAACTGCTTAAAGGGAAGCTCTTTTGAAACTCGCAAACCGGTTCTTTTTGCATATGTAGTTAGAGAAAACTGGCTTGATGACATAATACTTCCTTCAAAATTCTAACTCTCACAGAACAAAAATATACTTAGGAGAAAGTCTGAAGTTAACTTTTACCATGTCCTTGAAACAAACACAGCCCACTTTGCCTGACACTTCAACCTTAGTTAGTAAAACTCCAAGCCAAGGCAGGGAGGAGGGAGAAAAGATTTGAGTTTATTAATGAACACCCATCTTGTTCCACATTAAAGAGAAATTGTGTTATGAGAAAAGTGTAGCTTTTCAGAAGTTATGGAATATGTTCTCAAGTTTACCAGTCAGAAAATGGTGATATAACAAATAGTTCAATTACTTGTTTCTTGTTTTAAGATATTCAAGGGTTAAAAATTGTAATATTAAAAAATGATGAGGGAAGCATTTTAGTGTGTAAAGCAAGTAGGATATGCATTGCTGGTGAGAGAAGAAATAAAGACTGGAGATATTTTTGCTGAAAAAAGAATACTTTTGTCTTTGGCTGATTGCTTATGTATGGGGGAAAATAAGAGACAAATTAATATGGATCCAGAAAATCATTTGTGGAAAAAAAAAAGAAACTCTTATTAAAAGCATTTTGTATATTGTCAGAATTAAAATGGTTTTTTTTTAAATTTTTTAATTTTAATTAAAATTAAAAATAAATTTAATTAGGTAAGTGAATTTTGTTGTTAACAGTAAACTGATGCAAGACTGATTTTGGTTTTCTGTCTCTTAAGAAAACAATTTTCCTAGAATATTGAGTTGCTTTTGATAATGGATTGTAGGTTTCTTTCTCTATGAGTATTCCAGAATGTCCGTGAGGCATTTCAGAGAAAAATATTAGTAAAAAGTTTTAAAAAACTCTAATGAAAACCTGTTGTTTTACTTCTAATCATACTTCTGATTCCAAGGTTCGGGATTTAAAAAATTTATAAATCAACTTATAGTGAAGTTGTCATAGAGTGTAATCATTTATGATGTGTATCACTGCCGGCTGTAAGTTTACTCCTTGAAGCACATGTCGGAGCTGACCATGCTGTCCCTGCATGTAGCTCCCTCCCTCCATCTGTAAAAGCTCTTGCCCACATCACACATCATCAGTGTGATGGCATGGCATCAATGCATGTTGTTAGATTAACATGCTAAGATCTCACATGGCATGGGGCCAAAAGGGTTGTGGGAATTAGCCTTTCGACATGAGTCTATGCACCCACCGCCCTGACCCTCCCCACCCTGGTTGCTGGCACCCAAAATAAAGCAAGCTTTCCCTTTTTATTAGCTTTTGAGCACTGAGCATCCAGACCCACCTTCAGCAAAAAAAAAAATGTATTTTGTGTATTTGTAATTTCTGTGTTTAGTGTCCAGAGAAAAACTGGCTTTCCATGATGGTCCTTGCCCACCTGCCTGAAGAATTTCGATTCACTTAAAACCATATGGCTCCAAAGTTTGGACCTTTACACTATGGAGTTTGAGTTCCCTCTTCTCAGAGTCTGGGCTTTAGTCATAATCCTGGACCTAGCACAGCCAGCAAGGGCTTAATAAATATTATTTATAAATATTTAATGAACCATTATTTAATAAGTACTTACGGAATACGTAAATGGGGTTTATGTTATGAAAATATCTGGAACCTTTGCCCAGATGAGGATTAAACTTGTCATTCAACTAAGCCTTTCCAACTACTAAGTCCAAGCCTGCAAAACAGATTGACTGGATTGTTCTCACAGTTCGGTACTCAGTTATGCGTGGGCATAGATGTCTCGCTGTTTGTTCCATATGTGTCGTTGCTGGTCTCCAAGGTGGCTCTCCCGTCCTGGGATTCGCGTGCTCATGTGGAAAGGGCTCACCTGTGTGACCATCAGGCAGCCACAGACATGGGGGGAGGTGGCCTCCAAGGCAGGTCAGAAAAGACCCTGAGGCTTCCACTTGGCTCTCTTCTGGGTCACTCGTCTGGGAGAATCCCACCCCCGGCCGTGAGGACACTCAGGCAGCTTCCTGGAGAGGTCCACATGGTGAGCAACTGAAGCCTCCTGCCAACAACCAGTGCTGACTTTACAGCGAGTGACTGAGAGCCCTTGGAAGTGGCCCTTTAGCCCCAGGCAACCTTCAGATGCCCAGCGCCGGTCAGTGCCTTGGCTGTGACCCCAAGAGACCCCATGAGCCAGGACCAAGTCACTCCTAGATTCGGATCCACAGAAACTGTGTATGATAATAAATGTTCATTGTTCTAAATTACTGATTTTTGATGTGTGACAGGCTTGTCTCACTAAATAGATTATAAGCATCTCAAAGAAAAGAGTAATGGGACTTCCCTGGAGGTACAGTGGTTAACACTTCAGCTTCCAATGCAGGGGGTACAAGTTTGATTTCCTGGTCAGGGCACTAAGATCTCACATGCCATGGGGCCAAAAAAAACACAAAACATAATATGGAAGCAATATCATAACAAATTTAATACAGACTTAAAATAAAAATGCTCCTCATCAAAAAAAAAAGAAAAGATCCATGTCTTTCATTTGTCACAGTGACTTGAGATATTAGGATGATACTAGACAAGGTAAACGATATTAATGCTTCACAATTACCTTCTAGTCAAGTCAACAAATATTTAATACCCACCAGACACTCTTCTAGGAGCTAAGAAACTCAGTAAACAAAAAGGCATAAATTCTAGTGGATAAAACGTATGTAATAAAACTGAAGTTATGGACCAGGGCAATGAAGATAGGAAGCTAAGAAGAAAAATAGAATGAAGATGAAGGATGCCATTTTGTATATTTGACTTAGGGTGTCAGGAAGGCTTTCTCCAGAGACTCGTGTGTGCATCTGGGAACCACAGGCTCAGATCATCGAGATGGATAGTGGGGTACAGCAAGCATGGCTGAGGCCAAGGTCACTGTTGCAGATTTCACTAGTCAGCTGCTTTAGTGTCTGATGGCCCAGCTTCACATTTAAATCTCTCTCAGAGGCTTGGACCCCTCTTTTCTTGCTTCTTGAATTTTAACAGGACACTGGATAGTGGTCTGTTTTACACAGACCTGCTTATGTAATTGAATCACTATGTAAGCCTATCAATATGGCTAACGAGTCAAAATAGGCTAACATTTTTGGTCAGAAGAATTAAAGAGTTCACAGATTACAGACTGCCTTTCATGACTTCTGTGACTTGAAGCTTTCCAACTTCACTGAAGCCGTCAGCACCCTCAAATAAATTATATAGGTAGTAACACAAATATGTCTGCGTGTTTCTGACCCAGCTGGAAATGATCTACTCAATCAATATATGTTTATCAAGACATAAGTTTGCAAATTGACATGTAATGAGCTCTCCCAACAGAAGAACAAAATTGTTTCTGAAATGCTCTGTCATTCTCTGCTGTAGATTTCACCCCTTCTTCCTCTCGCTGGAAGAAGCACAGTGACTGGAAGGATCACTGGGTGATGAGCCCTGCCCAGGTCGCAGGGTGATGGCGGTGTCTGTCGTTCAGAGCCAGCTGAGTCAGTCACTCGCATCTCAGCTATCTCACTGCACAGAGACAAGCGTGTCCTTATTTAATGTGCGGCCACTCCTCAGAGAGGCATGATGCCAAACTACAGCTCACATCTGACATTAAAATGTTCAGTCATGGAGCTCCTGTCCTGTTCAGCGGCAGCAGCTGGCGTTCTTCTTTATAAAACTGATTGATTTGCTTGCTTTTTATCATTTGCTATCATTACTTATTATCTGCTCCCTTTTAGCAACATATTCTTGGCAAATTAACTTATTTGTGCTTTAAATTCCTAAATGCTCTTAGAATACTGGAGTGGGTAGCCATTTCTGTCTCGAGGATCTTCCTGACCCAGGGATCAAGCCTGGGTGTCCTGCATTGTGGGTAGATTCTTTACCATCTGAGCTACCAGGGAAGCCCTCAATTTTTGCTTTAATTCTGCAGAGCAAGTTTCCCTGAGAGGTTCACATAAAGGAAGTGAGAAGTAGGGTAGAGAGAGAAGGGAGGACAGGAAGCCAGAAAGAGAGACACAGAGACAGAGAATCCTCAGGTGTATATGTGTGGGGTGTGTGGTGTGGCATTTGGTGTGTGGGGGCATGTGTGCAGTGTGATGTGTGTGGGTGCGGTATGTGGAATGGGATCTGTCTGTATGCGTGCGGTCTGTAGGGCCAAGCCACTGGAGAGGTCACCATTGAAATGTGACCAGAAGGAAAACAGACAACTCTTTGTAGACTAGG